CCCCGGGAGAGGTGCAGTGGGACCTGCCGCAAGAGTGGGGGGCAGCAGTGTCCAAGTGCTGCTTCAGCCTCTTCTCTGGCTCTCGTGCCCAAAGAGGAAGAGTCACCCTCTCCCCCAGGCCTGTGCATCAGCATCTCTTGACCACGGTGACTTCAGCCCTGGGGCTGCAACTCTGAGAGCTGAGCTGGTTTTTGGCCTGTGAGATGTCTCCTCTGTGGCTCCGTGGTTGATATAATCAAGGCAAAGTGGTCGACATATAGCTGGTCCCCTGTAGATTTGGTCAGCTGTGTGACAGTCATCTCCACGCCACTGTGGATGTGTGTGCAACACTGGATGGCTTGTCTTGTGACCTGCAGCGCCCAGCCCAATTACTTAAGCTGCTGCTGCTTCCCGTGACTCCCTTGCTGCGTGTGTGCTGGGATGTTTCCTGGGAAGCAGGACTGGGCTTGCTGGTCTCTGATGTGTCCTAGTTTTCCTGCCCCGGGTGGAGCCTGACTCCTGGAAGCTGTGGCAGCCAGGTCCCAGCTGAGCTGGCGGGCTGTGGGGCAACGCACACTTCCTTCTGCCGCAGCCCTGCCACCCTCCTGCTTCCTCCCATTGCCGCATATGAGACGTGGTGTCGCTGGGGTGGGCAGCTGGATGAGCTGCCTGGTGGTGTCAGGGCAGAGGCTGCTTGGGCTGTAGGAGACCCGAGCTTGGTGAGGGCTGGTGGAAGATAAATGTGAGGCGTCAAAGTCTCTCTATTCTTGACCATGTCACCTGGCGAGTCCACTGGACTGCCTTGCTGTCAGTGGATGTGGTGTGTGTCTGGTTTCTGTGGCACAGGAGAGAGTGCAGCACGTTGCTGTTGCGGTCAGGGGTGACAGCATCAGGGGAAACACTTTTCTCTTGTGTCTGCTTCCCTGTGGGCTCCTGGGGCCCCAGCTGTCCTAGCCAGGATGTACGTCCCCAGCCTCGGTGGCTGTGGTTACCCCATCTGCCAGCTGCACCTCAGGGCTGGCCTGGCTCCCTCTGCCTTGCTGCTGGTGCCAGGCAGACCTGTTTTCCCTGCTGTTGCTGCTCCTGGCACGGGTCTGTTTGTAAGGGGATGCTGTGCTGTCAGGCCTCTGCTTCTGCACTGTCCCTGCCTGGCTTGGCCTTGATCTGCTGGACTGGCTCCACGAAGCGCAGGGCTCTGTGCTGCCAGTGCTCCTGACGAGCCTCATGCAGGCTCATATCCAAGGATATGTTGGCAGTCGTGTGCCTTCACGTGGGGCTGATGAGGGGATTGCCTTCCTGCCTGGTCAGGAGAAGTGGCTCCGTGTGATCTGGGGATGGCTAAAGTGGTCCTCTTCCCTCAGACCCTTCCTCTCCCTCTTCCTGGTGGACAAAACCTTGCTCCTACCTGCCCTGGGTTGGCTTTTGGCCACTGGCAGATTGGGATTGCATTGGGGTCCCCTGATGAGGTGCTGGGACTCATGGCCCACTTCCACATTGTGGCAGGAGCTTGACTTGGGGAAGTGCCACCCACTCAAGCTGGGGCCGGTACCAGCCATAGGGAGGAGGGCTGGTCGCACGTGCTGCTGAGTCACCCCAGAGCAGGGGCTGCCAGCCCGGAGCTGCTGTGCAGCCCCCCAGGGATGCCTGGCTCGTGGGGGCAGGTGGCCTTGCTCCTGCCTGGGCCCTTGTTTCAGCTGTGTGGCTTCGCAATGCTGGCTTGGTGACAGTGCAGTGCCTAGCACAGTGGAGTACCTGTGCTGCTGTCCTCGCTGTTGGGTCGATGTGTGCAAGGCTGGATTGAAGGGCCGGGGATGCTGCTGGTACCAGCTGGTGGCCAGTTTGGAGCTGCCTGTGCTCTCTTGCCTCCGCTGTCTGTAGCGAGGCCCCTCAGCACAGAGCCCTGGGCTCCTTGGTGGTCCTCCAGCTGCTCAGCTGTTCTGGTCTCTTTTCCTCTGGTCAGTTTGTGATCAGCCCTGTTCAATGTATTTTGGAGCCAGGGCAGGGATCACTATCCCCCTCCCTCTCCTGTGTGGTTGTAATAAGCAACAGTGAGCAGTAGCTCTCCCTGCTCATCCAAAGGTGGCTGGAATGGGACTGGGATGTTTATCGGGGGATAGCATCATCACTGGTGTTGTTTGGGACAAGGAGGATTGTTTCATGGTGTATAAGCCAGGTATGAAAGTCTTCAGGCAGCACCCTGCTGTCATGGGACGAAGCACTGGCTGGGGAAGGGTTCCTCACGGCCCCTGCCAGCTTGGCTCCCCCCAAGGAGCTGTGGGGTCTGCCTGGTCCCTGGAACTGGTTGTTACCCTGGTGAGGGGCTGTTCTTGGCCTGTTCCTGAGTGTCCCCACCGTGGGCTGGCTCGGGGTGGGGAGTGTTCCGACTCTGCCAACTGTCTTGAGTCAGCTCTCCTCTCTCCTGCTCACAGAAAATCATTGGCGTCTTCAAGCCCAAGAACGAGGAGCCGTATGGGCAGCTGAACCCCAAGTGGACCAAGTGGCTGCAGAAGTTGTGCTGCCCATGCTGCTTTGGGAGAGACTGCCTCGTCCTCAACCAGGGCTACCTGTCGGAGGCGGGTGCCAGCCTTGTGGACCAGAAACTGGAACTCAACATTGTTCCCCGCACAAAGGTGGGATCTTGTCCCAGGGAGGCTTTTGTGTGCTCCTGCCCAGCTCTGCTTGTGCCTTGTCTTGTGGTACTACTGATCTTGGAGATGTTGTGTTGAGAGCTCTGGACCAGGACTGCTCCTGCTCAAGCCATGGAGATCCTTGTGCTGGGCAGAGCCATGGGAAATGCTGTGTCTTGCTTTTATCACCCAGTCCTCTGAGAAGTGCCAGGTGCCTCTGCTGATGTCTGCGCTCCTGTTCCCCCAGGTGGTGTATCTGGCCAGCGAGACCTTTAACTACAGTGCCATCGACAGGGTGAAGTCCCGAGGAAAGAGGCTGGCCCTGGAGAAGGTGCCGAAAGTTGGCCAGCGCTTCAACCGCATTGGTCTG